CTGTAACGAGACTTATCTGTATTGGGAGGGATTTGTTTAAAATCAGTTTGATCATCCTTGAAACAGTTGTAACTTCTTTTTGTTGTTTCCATCCTGGTGGTGTTCAACTCCCAGTGCTGTTCAGGAAAACCCCAGGAATGAAACTTTTGGACAGCTAAAGTAAATCCACATGCACCCCTCCCACCCTCCCCCCAAATTAGTAGTTCTTCCCGAAACTGGCCAAAAAGTCAAGAAGTACACTATTTCATAGTAATGTGAATTACACTTTTCTAAAACAAGTCATAGAATTCACATTAAAATCTGTTAATACCTGAAGGAAATGGGTACCCCTTGTTCCTGTCCCTGCACCTCAGTGCATTAGCCAGTCACTTTTGTGAGGGTGAGCTGTAACGCAGGGGTTCTCAGCTGCCAGGAAAACCCCAGCTGCCCCAGGATTCATTCAGTTTAGAGTTAATTTGTTCTTAACATTACATTTCATAATTTAGAACAAACGTTTTTCAGCTTCTAATTCTTAGCCTGAAGTTTTGAGTTAACCCTTTTGTCTTCGTTATTGCTATACTGAGAGGACCAGATTCCTCGCTGTGTTTAAAGGGGAGTATTTCTTTCATGATTAACTCGCATTTTTATTTACGATCAGTCACATTGGTAGCTTTTGGGTAAACCTCTACTACTTTGTTGACCAGCTGTTGTTGGCATAATTTGGTATGACTTACATACTTGGAACATTCAGAATAATTCAAATACTAAAAAAATAAATAAATTAGACAATCGCTTTAGGCATTAATGCTCTGCATGATTTATTTATTGGCTGTTCAAAATTACAAATGATGCTTTACGCTGCAGGATTACATCCACCAATGATCTCTTTCAGTTTAGGTATTAACTGTGATTAAAGTTTTCCTTCCTTACCATCACAAACTTGCCATTCTTGACAAGACTTACAACTACTATTGTGCGTCGTTTAATCTTTCTGTCTGTTTTTTTACATAAAAAGTATTTGTAATTTCACTACAATAAATAGGTCCATGAATCGTTAATGCCTTTCTGCAGAGGTGGGAGAAATCTTGCTGATCCTGTATTTCTGGTCCAGATTCTGTAATTGCTTCTCTATAGCACAAAGTTTAAGAGGGGAGAAGATTTTTTAATAACCTGAGGGGGTAAAAAACGCGGGCTTGTCAAGGAGAGAGTTACGAGTTCCCGCTAAAATCCTGCAGAAAGTTACCTAAAAATCGGTATGGAGAGTGTACAGACGAACGCAGCAGAGATACAGACGGGCGATGGAGTCAAGCGCCAGCTCCAGGCCTCCACCACCGCCTGGCAGGCGCCGGAGGAGAAGTCAGCGTCCCCAGCGCTTGTCAAGGAGAGAGTTACGAGTTCCCGCTAAAATCCTGCAGAAAGTTACCTAAAAATCGGTATGGAGAGTGTACAGACGAACGCAGCAGAGATACAGACGGGCGATGGAGTCAAGCGCCAGCTCCAGGCCTCCACCACCGCCTGGCAGGCGCCGGAGGAGAAGTCAGCGTCCCCCGCGCAGGGGCCGAAGGGTGGCTGGAAGAAGGCGCGCTGGCTCCCGGCGCGGCGTCGCCTTGCACCGGAGCCCTGCCCTGGAGAAGGCCCTCGCTCTGCTCCTGCCCTGGGAGCCAAAACAGCCTTTTGCGTGTCTGCGCACCGCTTGGCAGTGACCTGTGGCGCAAGTAGACACACACGCACCCCCCCACCCCGCCCCCTGACAGATGGTCCCGCGGCAGCGCGTGTGCTACACCAGTCTCTTAACGAGCTGGTTAAACTCCGGCGTTTGAAGAGCGGGTTTAAGAGCTGGCGATGTCCAAGTCCGGGGAAGAGGCCTGGGCAGTGTCGGGAGCAGCAGATCCAGAGGTGGGTGGTGCCGTTTGCTGGGCATCGTGTAGCTGCTTTTTAAATTTGCTTCTTCGATCGTGTAGCTCATGCTGTGTGAAGTCAGTATGCTGTGGAAAAAAATAGTTAGAGATTTTTGGAGTGAAAACCTGACAAAACGTAAATGAGGCTTTTTGTGGGAACGTCAAAGCTTCTTAGAATACCTCTGTGTGGAAAAGTATTATTCTAATTTTTTTGGATAAAGAAACTAGTCCTGTAATTTTTTAAATCGTGGTGCTTAAACATAACGTAAAGGAAGCCTTTGTAATGCTGACTAACCTGGTTTTAATAACTTCTCTTACTTGTGTAAGCTTTAAAAATGTTTAAAGACTGTGCTTACCTGCACACAGCTGCAAGCTGCCAAACAGTGTTGGAACTATATGCTGTGCAGAATCCCTGTCATTTCACAGTAAGTTATAGAAATGGGAATAAACATTCACACACAAGGCATCTAATGACTTATTTTTAGAATGCTTATGGAAATGGGAGGCAGAGAAGGTTCTCTTGTGGTTTGTTGTTTTTTTTTTTAAATAAAGGCTTTTTTAGAGCTGCGTAGTAATCAAGGAAAAATTACACTTTACAAAACAGTTAAAACTTTTTTCTTTTGATAAGCCCCTTTGATCATATTTCCTCGTATAAATATATTGATTACGGGGACAGACTTATGAACTTTACATGCTTTAAATAGGACCCTTAGGATATAAATTATTATGCAAGAAGGTTATTCGATGTAACTCTGCATTAACATATGTGTACAGGTATCTCTTATTTGCTGATACTGTATCATTCATTTGACTTAATTAGGATAAAGCAGTATGAAGAACCTTGTTCCCCTTTCTTCAAATGGTCAGAAAATTTTAAATATCTCTTCTAGGATGGTTTTGATTTGGATTCAAATGGTGACAGAGTGCAGACCCTCTCTCTAAATGGAGACTCTGACAAGTGGATAGACGTTTCCAACATGTGCAATTCAAATCAAGACTATTACTTGAAGCTAGAAGAGTTGAAGAATGCCTGCTTGGAGACCATAGCAAAATTAGAAAGCATGTATTGGAATAAACTATATTTAAAAGGTGTACAACCCTTAGACAAGAGCAGTGCCGCTTCTAATATGTGTTGTAGGTAAGTTTGGTGGCACCAAGGGAAGATGAGGGTGAGCAAGAACTTTCAATGCTAGCACCTCCTGTGTGGAAGCTGTCTCTGGGTGTTTTCAGTTTTGGAGCTGGGCTCTGGCAGGTGTTCAGGAGAGACCCAGATGCTATGTTTGAACTTTTAGGTGGCAAGGCAGGCACGGACCCCCAGTCTTTGTGGGCCTGTGAAAGGGATGCCAAGGGAAGATGAGGGCCAGCAACAGCTTTCAATGCTAGCCCCTTCTGTGTAGGAGCTATCTCTGCAAGAGTTCCTTTGCAGTCAGTCTGCTCAGTTCGTGGACTCAGTGCATCCCTGGCAGGGCTCTGAAGAAATTTTTATTTTATTACATAACTTAAGGTGCATGGTAAGCTTGAACTCAATATTGCTTTTGGCCTCAGTGAGAGGTACGGGATTGTTCTCATGCAGGCTGCTATTGTGCTGAAAGGCTATCTGAAGCCTAAAAATACCCTGTCATGACAATATACCGCCCACAATCCAGCAAAATCTACTTTCTGATCTCTTCTGGAAGAGTAACTTTGTAAAAAGCTCAACTACGTTTTTTGGCTTGTCAGGCTTTTCCAGCCAAAGAGCTGCACGTGTTGATGTGTTTGTGCACCACGGAAAGTTTGCACGTTCATGACTATGTAAAGATCCCAAACATTTCTAAAAGTCTACCTTTGTTTTGCTATTTATGTTGCTCAGAAGCTGCATGTGGAGCTGCACATTGCATATGCAAAGCTTACTTTGATTTTCTGAGAGATCGTTTGATCTTTCTTTATTGCACTCCCAAATAACCTGAAGTAGAATAGGGATGACACAGGAAAAAATCTGATCTTTTTGTTACTTTTGATACAGATTTGATAATACCGAATCCACACTTTAGTGTCGCCTGAGAACCCAGCTTCTTTCTTCACCTTAGTACTTGCTGCTAGTGAGTCCACTGTCCATTAAGGTTCCAGTACATGCAATTTAAATATGCATATAGGGTGTGTCCATTAAAAAATGAAAGTGTCACTTCTACATAAATAAATTTTTAATAGAGATGTCTACATTGGACTGTCTTGGTGCTGGGCTTTTCGACTGGGCTAGTAGACGTGCTTCTGGAAGATCAGGCCCAAGAGACAGGATTTTGCAAAGGGAGAGACAAGGAAAGAAGTCATAGAGGATATACATCCATTACTTCCACAGAAATTGAAGCCTGTCAGGGAATGGCAGTACATGAGATTCCATTACAGTGGGAGTGAAGGGAACGAAGGAAAGACGGTGGCTCACCATGCAATTATTTGGTATATTCACCAATTCGTGAGAGTACATGGCACTCAGCTATCCCCAAGGAGACTGGCATCCCAGCAGGGTCCTGTTAAGCGTGGGGCTTTTAGTGGCACTGCTGATTTGATGCCTCTCATCTCTCATGCCAGGTAGAAATAACCTGCAGAAAAGGTTGTCGTGACGAAACATGAAGTGAAAACTAAATATCCAAATTTTGTACTTGGAGCAGGAGTCACACTGACTTTTATACAGCATCTTTTAATCTTAAAAGATTTCAAAAGTGTCAAATAACAAAAGTCAAGCTGTGTCATGCACTCACAACAAAATCCTGGCTCAGCAGAAGGCCTCTGTGTACCACCCTGTGCACAATACAACAGGACAAAGCTGTCACACCAGCACAGCCACGAAAGACTGTGAGCTCAGCCTCCAAAACGGCAAAGCACTCATTTTTTTTTTTTTTTGTCCATGGCTAATGCTTTAATCCACCGACTTGCTGGATGTTGCTCTCTTTTACTATTTTACACAATTGCAACTCTTCAAAAGGAAAAACGATAATACATTTAGTGCCACAGACAGCCCTTATCATCTGGGAGGTGTTTATGTTCAGTTCTTCCTCCCCAAACACCCAGATACATTTCAGATCCAAACTGGAGAGAGAGGCAAGTATACAAGAGGGGACTCCGGCACCACACAGCCCCCCTGAAGCCATGTACAGGAGCAGCTTCCTCCGCGAGGTACGCAAAGAGAAGTACGAGCGGTCGGATGCCTATGATGAGCTGCAAGGCTCCCCTGAATTCGACAGTTTGGCCCAAGCCCGGGGCCTGGAGAACCTGCAGGAGCTCAACGAGCGCTTCGCTAGCTACATCAATCGGGCACGCGTGCTGGAGCAGCGCAACACCATCCTTCGCAAGCAGCTGGAAACCTTCCAGCGCATGGATGAGCTGGTGGGCTTGGACGAAGCCTTCAGCAGTCAGATCGAGTTCAACCGCCAGCGAATGCGGGAGCTGGCTTCCAACCGAGCCAGGCTGGAGCGGGAGGAGAAGGACGCCCAGCGCATGCTCGATGAATATCACAACAAGTAAGGCTTGCGAACGGAAGAAGATATTGTTTCCATAGTTGGTATTTACCGTAAGGGCAGGTTTGGTGTCACCGACTGCTTCTTGTGCACAGCTGATGACTCTTCATGTGTATCACTGTTTTAGCCAGTGATGGCATATGAGCCCGTGGTGAGAAACAGGGTGCCAGGAAGTCAGCTCTGTATTTCATGTTCTCAGTGCTACTGGATGGGCAAGTGCCTTTTGCCTTCCATGCAGCAGGTCCTCGCCACGGCACAGGTTTGCTGCTGTGACTCATTAACTTTAGAAGTATTGTGCTGTGAGCTGCAAAGAGAGAATAACTCAGTTAACAGCTCAGAGGAAGTTTTGTTTCTGAGCACCACTCCAAACATCTGTTGAAATGTGTGGGGCATCTCCGAGAATCTCTTTTGTGCATTCATTGTGAGGCACCTGGGCAGCCAATACAGACATGAGATGAAAAGAAAGTAAATAAATTTTCCTAGTATATGAAATTTGCCTAATCCCCCTCCGGTTCCTCCTTGCATCTTGCTATTTCCATCTTGTGCTACTAAAGCAATAGTTACAAGAACACGTTTCACCTAATTTCACCTCTTCAGCCTCAGTTGCACTGTAAATCAAAGAGCAGTAGCCTTGGGAGCTAAGACTTAAAAGTGCCTCCAGACACATCTAGTCCATTCCTTTCAGCTACAGGCAGTTTTGGCCATGTTGCTTAATGAATTACACAACAAGAATTGATAAGTACTGCTCGTAAATTATATACTCACAGGAGAGAAGAGTCTTGGCTTCCTGTTACTTATATCCCCCCACAGTCTGTCTACCTAATTCAACTAGCAAAATCTGGCAGCAGCATGGAGGCTAAAGAGGAGCTTTTCATACTCCCCACCAAAGGTTAAGGGGTGAATTCAATATAGCATGCTCTACTTTAGAAACACTTGTCACTGACAGTGATGGGAAGGAAAAAAATGAAATATCTTCACCAAATGCAGTCTTGATAAAAATGCAGCCACTCCTGGGTGATGCTCACCACACTACGAAAAAACATTTCAGTAAGGCAGAAGGTGAATCATCTGAGTAGTGTCATGCTGCTGCAGAAATACAAGTTCCTCAAGATTTCATCCCTTGCCTCCATCACAGACTTTTTGTCTGACCTTGTCTAAACCACGTGATTTTTCAGTCTCATCCTCCAGTGATTTTTCCCTTCCTCTGGACTAGAAATTGTAGGACTAATAATATTTTCCTTTTCAGTCTTTTCAACTAGAAAGAGCCAGAAAACAGATGTGCAATAATTTACTTCGAGGCCATCTGTGTCTGTCAGCCCTGGTCTTGATACCACCAGCTGTACATTGCTAATGCACCCTCATCCTGCCCTCCCCAGCCCTGCACGCTGTTCGGTGCAGCCTATCTGATCTGCTGTGCTGCCTCAGGTATTCCTGGGGCAACCCTGAGATTTAAATCAACAAAATGAGCCAGCTAAAAAAAAAATTAAATTAAATTACACCTGCCACGCAATTCAGTGGGCTGCCATATGAACAACCTATGGGGGCTGTGAGCTGTGGCACAGCTGTAGAAATGCCAAGACCATATCTCTTTCCCATCTGACAGCAGAGAATAGCCCATCCAGGTGCAGTGAGGCTTAAAGCTGGAAATGGTCAGATGTCCACGATGCCCTTACTCCAGTGTGTGTGAGTAATAAGCACTGGATTATGCAGTTTTGTATTCCAATATTTACGAACAGGAAATTCAGCTATGAGCCAATACCATAATTTAGTTGTTGTCTCTAATACTTATATGTTTTTACTACATTGTGTCCATGAGATTTTTGACTAAACTTGTACTTAAACGTCTATCTGCCTATTAGTTAAAAATATATGTAAGCTTATACAGTACTTTGATATAGCTGGGCACAGAATCACAGAATGGTAGGGGTTGGAAGGGACCTCTGTGGGTCATCTAGTCCAACCCTCCTGCCGAAGCAGGGTCACATTTTACCTCTGTCTGGAGTATTTCAGGCAGGTGAAGAGTCAGTGCAGTGACATATCTCCCTCTTTGATTTCAACAACTTGCAAAAAAAACTTGCAATAAAGGAAATTAGAAAAACTGACCAAAAAAAACCCCAGTTTGTCCTAACTGCCTTTTAATGGATTCTTGCATGTGTCTGAGCAGTTTATTGATTATCTGTCTGTATAGTTTCCCACCAGCAGGACTAGCAACCTGATACAAAGACAATTTGTTTTTTATTAGAGTATTTTTATTAGAATAAAAGACATTGAAAATCATTGGGGAAATTCCCAGAGAAGGGGCTGTGCTTTCTCAAAGTGAGATTTAGGCTCCATTACATGGGTAGTTAGTGACTTCTTAGAAAAAACATATGGTGCCTTGTCATAGGTTTCTGGGATGTTCATAGAATCATATATTGGAAAAGACCTCTAAGATCATCAAGTCCAACCATCCGCCCAACAACACCATACCTACTAAAGCATATTCCGAAGGGCGATGTCTACATGTTTTTTGAACACCTCCAGGGACGGGGACTCTCGACCACCTCCCTGGGCAGCCTATTCCAATGTCTGACCACTCTTTCAGTAAAGAAATTTTTCCTAATATCCAATCTAAACCTCCCCTGACACAACTTGAGACCATTGCCTCTTGTCCTGTCGCTAGTTACTTGAGAGAAGAGACTGACACCTGCCTCACTACAACCTCATTTCAGGTAGTTGTAGAGAGCAATAAGGTCTCCCCTCAGCCTCCTCTTTTCCAGACTAAACAAACCCAGTTCCCTCAGCTGCTCCTCATAAGACTTGTTCTCTAGACCCCTCATCAGCCTCGTTGCCCTTTCCTGGACATGCTCCAGCAACTCAATGTCTTTCTTGTAGTGAGGAGCCCAAAACTGAACACAGTATTCAGGGTGCGGCCTCACCAGTGCTGAGTACAGGGGCACAATCACCTCCCTACTCCTTCTGGCCACACTATTCCTGACACAAGCCAGGGTGCCGTTGGCCTTCTTGGCCACCTGGGCACACTGCTGGCTCATGTTCAGCCAGCTGTCAACCAGCACCCCAAGGTCCTTTTCCACCAGGCAGCTTT